GTGCAGTTTAGCTTACTGAATAGCACCAGCACCATGGTGGATGTAGCAATGGGAGCCATGTTTACCGCCCGCTCCGGGAAGTGGCTGGATCCATGCTGCCACTGAGCAGTGCACCACCTGCTGCTCATAAACCCCAGCTGAGTGTTCAGGGCAGGGCCTCTTAAAAATTCTGTGCCTGCGTTTGCCACTATCACCAACCCAGCAAGCTGCCTCTTAAAGGAGCCATGCCTGTTTACTGCTAGCAAAAAGTCTACCCAAGAAAAGGCAGTGATCAAGAAACTGCATCTGATTCCGGGTTTTGTGTGTTTAGGATCTTTTTCTTAAACTTTCTTAGGTCTTTTGTGAAAAATTCCAGCCTCACACTGAAATGCCATATGTAGGCAGACTTTTCTTTCCTACCTTCCAGTACCCAAATAACCAACACAAAGTCTTAATATTAACTATAAATGCCCAGCCAATAGCTCAGGTAACCCATATTTTTTTTATCTATTCTTGACATGTGACTTGGTACCTTTGCTCAGTATGGCATGCCCATCTTGCTTCTCTCTGCATCTGCTCACAACTCTGACTCCACCCTTCTTCCTTAGCTTGGCTCTTCCACTTAACATTTTCCTGTCCAGCTATTGGCCACTCAGCTTCTTTATTAAACCAATCACAGTGACATATATTCACACAGTGGAAAAGAATATTCTAGGGCTGGAGAGATGGCTCAGTGGTTAAGAGCACTAACTGCTCTTCCAGAGGTCCTGAGTTCAATTCCCAGCAACCACATGGTGGCTCACAACCATCTATAATGAGATCTGATGAGATCTGATGCCCTCTTCTGGCAGAATGGTGTATACATAATAAATAAAGAATAAAGAACTGAAAAAAACAAAAAAACAAACCCTGATACAAAAAAACAAGACTGAAAACCAGCTGGGCAAACTCTGCACTCTGTATCCCCATGTCTGATGTCTAAACACTCTTCAGATCTCCATCTCCTTTCAACTTCGTTGAGTGCAACACACTCTCTCCTCCTCTCCACAACACTTCTGTTCAGGAACACTTCAGAAACTACAAGTTTCATGAGCTGGGTTGGTGCTTGTGGTCTTAGCTCAGTGTCAGGAGTTCAGGGCCAGCCTGAGCAACACAGCAAAATACACACACACACACCACCTTGGAAGAAAGATTGAAAGAGAAAGGAGGGGGAGGAAAAGAAAAGAGGGAAAGTTCCCACACTCCAGGACCCCAATACCCCCTTCTCAGTCACATCCGTCACTGGGCAACCTCAAACACATAATCATCATCTTTGCCTAAGGACACTGCATGTGCATCCTTTGCTCAGCCCTCCCATTCAAGCACCAGGTGCTACCTGGAAACGCTACGGAGGCTTCTAAAGCCCCATGACGAGAACAAAGCTCACTGTTTCTGGAACTACATCTTACAGGACAGCACCGCTAAACCGCATGCAGCAACCCAGAAGTCGTCTCTTCCTTGTCCCTTGCTCTTCTCCAGGGTGACAAGACCCATGGCCCAAAACCTCCCTGAAGGACCAGGAAGCCGGGTGCTTTCAGGCTATTCTATGACTAAGAAGTTAGATTTGTGCAAATCCATCCCATGAGCCCCGGATCCCATTCCTTCTCCACTCCATCACATAACTTTGGCCTGCCGTATCTATAAAACAAGTCGAAGCTGGAAGTTTAATGCTCTTCCTCCTCTGCAGGTGCCTGCAGTCATGCTAGATGCCCTATGAGCCCAGTGTGTTAGCCTTACTCCCAGCATCCTGTACAGTACAGGGGTGCTTGGTTGAACCCCAGTCCTGACACATTACTTCATACCTTGCACTACAATTCTGTCTGCTAGTTTCTCTCTTTGTCTGCCTCTATCCCTCTAAAGCTATGCTAGCTCCTTGATATATAACTTGGGACTACCCTGCCCTGGCACTAGGATTCATATTTGGCCTTTTGTTTTCTTCAATTAGACTGAGACATTCTTTTTTTTTAATTAGGGCTTAAATTTTTTATTTATTTTATTTTATTCTGTTATTTATTGATCTTGTTGAGTAAAGTGTGTCAACCCAAGACACGGTGTTTGCTCTTCAAAGCTCTCCCTGAGGAAGGCTCGGGGTTATACTGGGACTCCAAACACCCAGTGTGGTCACCAGCTTGCTATCAAAGACTTTCTGTTCGCTTACACCGTGTCCAAGTCGTGTTCGATGGTAGCTATCTCACAACACTTTCACTGAGCCATCTCTCCAGTCAAACAGATTTTTTCTCAAAGATAGGATGTCATCGAGTGTAACATGAAGGGGACTGCTTGTTGGGGTTTCTGTCCCGCCCAGTACCCCACAACCGGCAAGCCCCAAAGAAAATCACACAGAAACTTCCATAAGTTATAAAACTGATTGGTCCATTAGCTCAGGCTACTTATTAGCTCTTATAACTTATGTTAGCCCATCTATGTCAGCCACAAGGCTCAGTACCTTTCTCAGCGTGGCAGCTCACATGTTGCTTCTTCAGTCGTCTGGGCAGGACTGCGAGGAATGGGCTTCCTCCGTCCCAGCATTCTCCTGTTCTACTTCCTATCTAGTTTACCCACCTATACTTCCTGCCTGGCCAATCAGCGTTTATTTAAAACGTGATTCACAGAATACAGACAATTCTCCCGCACCAGTCGAGTGTTGTAGCACGTCTTTAAACCTAGCACTTGGGAGGTCGAGGCAGGCAGATTTCAGTTCAAGGCCTATTTCAAAAAAAAAAAAAAAAAAAAAAGGCAGGGTATCACTGTGTGGCCCTAGCTGGCCTGGAACACAAGTCACAGAACAGGCTGGCCTTGGACTTAGAGATCTACCTGACTCTGACTCCAATGTCACTACTCCCTGCTTAAATGTAGGGTTTTTTTTGTTTTTTTAAAATACTTATTTATTATGTATACAATATTCTGTCTGTGTGTATGCCTGAAGGTCAGAAGTGGGCACCAGACCTCATTACAGATGGTTGAGAGCCACCATGTGGTTGCTGGGAATTGAACTCAGGACCTCTGGAACAGTAGGCAATGCTCTTAACCTCTGAGCCATCTCTCCAGCTCCCTTAAATGTAGTTTTCTAGTGGGTTTTTTGTTTGTTTTGTTTTGCTTTGTTTTTTTTTTTCAAGGTGATTTCTCTGTATAGTCCTGGCTATCTTGGAACTCCCTCTGTAGACAAGGCTAGCCTTGAACTGAGATTGCCTACCTTTGCCTCCCAAGTGCTGCGACTAAAGGTGTGTGCCACCACGCCAGCTTGAATGCAGTACTTAAGAAGCTACTTGGGGGCTAGGAGTGGTTCAGCATCACAGCACACCTGAGTTCCAGTCCCAGCACCCACACAAGGAGGCTACTGTGAATCCAGTTCCAAGGTACTCAGTCCCTTCCTCTGGCCTCTGTGGCCACCAGGCATCCATTCCTGTGGTGTGCATCTTCATAACCATACCCTGATGTACCCAAACCAGGATGCACAAAGAACAGTGATTCCATACGAAATTCTTAGCATATTAATGAAATATATTTGAAAATAAATGCTGGTTTATTGTTTTCAATTATAATAACTTATCCTACACTGAATTTGTTCTTTCAGGACAAGAAGTCTCCCTCGTAGCTCTCAGGTGCATAAAAAGGGTTACTTCTAGGATTTCAAGCTCATCATCCCAGCCTTGGAAGGCTAAAACAGGTGCAGTAAGTTTAAGGCCTGCCTGGGCTACTGAGACCTAATCCCGAACAAAAAACTCAGCTATAGCGATTAAATCTTTACAGGGCCAAGTGTGATGTGGGACTCCCCTCTGTATACTGTGAATACCACTGGCTAATAAAGAAGCTATTTCGGCTAGTGGCTTAGCAGAATAGAAATAGGCAGGGATAACTAAACTGAATGCTGGGAGAAAGAAGGCGGAGTCAGTGAGATGCCATGTAGCCACCAGAGGGGAAAGCTGTGACCTGCCAGCTAGAACCTTGCTGGTAGGCCACAAGCCTTGTGGTAAAATATAAAATAATAGAAATGGGTTAATTTAATATGTAAGAGCTTGCTAAGAATATGCTATAGTGATTGGGCAAGTAGTGACTTAATGAATACAGTTTCTGTGTGGTTATTTTGGGAGTCTGGGTAGCTGGGAAATGAACAAGCGGCCTCCTACAACTCGGGTGATGAAATGAGGCAGATGGTAAAGGTGCCTGCTACCAAGCCCAACCTGAGCTCATTTCCAGGGATCCACACAGCAGGAGAGAACCACCATTCACAAGCTGTTCTCTGAGCCCACTTGCACCGCTGCCTGCTGCCTTGCGAGTCTAACATTCACAGCCACAACGTGCGTAAGAGATCATCTCCTCCTAGGTCACGTCCTGTGATTCTTTGGGAAGCTAACAATAGAAACGGAGTTCAAAACTTGCAGTGAACTTGAGGCTGGCTTTATGGTTTACTCATTTCTTAGTAGATCATTGTATAACCTTCCCTTAATAAACATTTCCTGTGATATGGAAGGAAAATCATTAACCCCAGTGACTGTTAGAGGTACAGAAATTACCTCTTTAAACTGGAGGTCAGCCGGTTCTGTACAAATCCCAGGTACAAGGGCTGCAAAGGGAAACCCTGTCTGAAAACTAACCAAGAGGGGCAGGAGGCATGGGGGAGTGCCGACCACCAGCTGCTCTAGCTGAGGACTCAGGTTGGTGAAGTTCTTGTCCTGCAAGCAAGAAGACCGAGTCTGATCACTACCTCACACCCACGAGAAATAACGATAAGACACTGTGCCTGTAATCCGGGCACCAGGGTGACAGACAGGAGGATCTACCTCTAGGGCCTGATGTCCAGCCAGGCTAACCAAACCGGCAAGGTCCAGATTCTGTGAGATATACTTATCTCAAAAACTACAGAGAAAGGGACTGAGGAAGATACCTGGTGTCCACTCTTGTTGCCACATAAGCAAACTTGACTGTGTGAACCTGAACATGCACACATACACATACACACAAAGCAATTAAACACATTCTGATATACAAGATTCTAATAGTTTAATAGTAAGTATCCTATTTATATACATGTATGAGAAAACTGGTTTTAAAAAGGGCTGATAGGAGCTGGAAGATGGCTTAACAGTTTAAGAGCACTTACTGCTTTTGCAGAGGACTTGGGTTTGGTTCCCAGCACCCATATGGACCATGTGTAATGCCAGTTCCAGGGAATCTGATGCCTTCTCTGGCCTCCTTGAGCATCAAACAGGCAAATGGTACAGACTTACATGCAGACAAAACACTCATACAACTAAAAAAAAATAAAAAATCTTTGGGTTGGAAAGATAGCTCAGTAGTTAAGAGCACTGACTGTTCTTGCAGAGGACCTGGGTTTAGTTCCCAGTACCCACAAATGTAGTTCCCAGTAGCCCACAAATGCCTGTAACTCCAATCTCAAGGGACCTGGTGCCCTCTGCTGGCCTCCACAGGCACCAAGCACACAAGTGGTAATAGACACATTGCAGCAAACACCCGTGCACATAAAAACAAACTATTCAAATAAAAACAAGTACATAAAAGGGCTGATAAGATGGCTCAGTAGGCAAAAGCACTTGCTACCCTAACAACCTAAATTCAATTCCTAGAATTCACAAGGGAGAAAAGGGAAGAGACTCCTTCAAACTGTCCCAACCTTCACATTCGTGTTTCTGAATGAACACCCCCACTACACATACACACAAAAGAAAGCGCCAAAGCAGGTTAAGTGGTTTCCTGGGTTGAGAAGGCACACATGAACTGAACATGGAAGCACAGTCTATAGTACTCGCTCTTGGGAGGTTGATGGATCTCTAAGAGATCGAGGTCAAGTTGGTATATTTAATGAGGTACAGCTTAGCTTGGGCTTGACTGAGAACACCTCAAGAGGCAAAGAACAGTACAAAGCAGCTGCCTGTACACACAATAAGGAGTCAAGCAAGCATTCCGGTTCCCAAGTGGTTTTATGTGTTTGTCTTAAATTTTATGACAAACACGGGTTCAGTATTTCCATTTTTTTTGTAATTGTTTTGCTTTGGTTTGGTTTTTTCGAGACAGGGTTTCCCTGTGTAGCTTTGGAGCCTGTCCTAGAACTTGTTCTGTAGACCAGGCTGGTCTCAAACTTAAAGAGATTCACCTGCCTCTGCCTCTGAAGTGTTGAGATTAAAGGTGTGCATCACCACCACCTGGCCAGTATTTCCTATTTATCCGTTAATAATCAATACTTTCAATAAACAAAGAGAAACTACATGTGTCAGCATACTAGAGAGGTTGAGGCAGAAGAATCATCACTAGTTTGAGACCAGTCTGGGGTACATAGACTCAAAAATTCAAGAGAAAGGTGAATTCTGTATTCTATTCTGTAACTTAACAGAAAGCTACCTCGGAATTGGCACTCTGTGAAGACACGCCAGCTTTTGTGCCTTCATAGAAAGCCAGGCTTAAAAGACTCCTGGTCCCCGGTGTCCTGGACCACTGCTCAGGTCTTCAACTGTGTCTCCACCTGCCTGCACACACTGTACACACCCATCTCTTCCTTACTGGCTTTTTCAGAGAACTCAAATGTCCCTCAAGAGCATGCTTGAGGTCACTGGAGTCTAGATCCTCCTTCTCACTGTCCTGTAACAAATAGCTGGTCTATAGTTCTCTTTTGTGTGATACTGTATGTTACTATTGGGGGAGCACATATGTACCATGGCATTTGGATGGAGATGAGAGGACAGCTCTCTGTGGACTCTGGGGACCAAATTCTTGTCATCGGGGGCTAGAGATGACTCATCAGTCACCTGGCTGCTCCTCCAGAAGACCTGGGCTTGAGTCTCAACACCAACATGGCAGCTCACAACCATTTTAAACTCCAGTTTCTGGGGATCCAATACCATCTTCTGGTCTCCATAGGTACCAGGCAGGCATGTGACAGGGTTTCTCTGTGTAGTCCTGGTTGTCCTGGAACTTGCTCTGTACACCAAACTCTCCTCAAACTCAGAGATCCACCTGCCAGGATTAAAGGTATGTGCCACCACCACCTGGCCCATATACAAATTCTCATTAGGTTTTCATGGTAAGTGCCTTTACCTGCTGAGCCATCTTTCCAGACCCTTCATAATTCTCTTTTGAGCCAAACATGGTTGTTCATACCCTTAATCCCAACAAAATGGGAGGCAGAGGCTGATGGAGCTCTGTGAGTCTGAGGTCAATTCAGTATACTTAATGAATACATAGTGAGACCTTGTCTCAAAAATAAATAAATATGGGGCTGGAGAGATGGCTCAGTGGTTAAGAGCATTGCCTGCTCTTCCAAAGGTCCTGAGTTCAATTCCCAGCAACCATATGGTGGCTCACAACCATCTGTAATGAGGTCTGGTGCCCTCTATGGCCTGCAGGCACACATGTAGGCAGATATTGTATGCATAATAAATAAATAAATAAATAAATAAATAAATAAATAAATAAATAGTTCTTTGACCTATCAGACACGGACTGTTCACTACAAATCAGCTTGTCCCTAGACTGCCACCATGGTGTTATTCTCTATTCACCTCAGTGGCCCTGGGATCTAATGGTGGAGCCACAGCAATGCTTCTCCTAGAGACAAAGGAAAAGAGCCTGAGGAGCTGTCAGGGTTGGGGATGAGAAGGAGCCGTCTGCAGCGCAGAAGTGGAGGCACTCCTTCCAGTCAACTCCTTACGTGCACTATTTGAAGCAAAAGGGAAAAACTTGCCAAGCTTTATTCAGGTTGTAAAGGCTGAAGATAGCACATCTAAGTCTATAGCCAACCCCGTCTTTACAGTTCCCTGGGCAGCCTCAGCTAGCCCTCCCTCCAGTCTCACTTCTTGTCTTCCTCTTTCTTGTCCTTCTTGCCATCCTTGGTGGCCTGGGAGGCTAGAGAGCCCATTGCATTCCGAATGGCTTCGTTGTTGGGATCCACACCGGGAAGGTTCTCCAGGACACTCTGAAGGAACTCTGGGTCCTGCATCACATCGTAGTCGTCCTCCTCCTGAAAAAGGCACATGAGCGGGGGCACACGGGCAGCAGAGCGCAGTGAAGGGACGGGAACATGATGCTGACGGCGGGGGTCGGGTGTACCACCAAGGGAAGGAAATGCACGAGGTAAGCAAGATCCGTGTCCATAATGGCATGGGTATTAACGGACAACACAGAAGCCGGAGAACTCTGCTAACTGAGCTCAGAGGGTAAAACCACCACCACACGCAGCTTTCTTGCTGGGAAATACCCAACACTCCTGCCCCCCAGACCCTCTTGGGAGGACTCCATAGAATTCAATCCAGATCAATCCCACTAGAAAATTCCAGGACAATAGAATGCTTCTCCAACTCACTGTTCCCCTGGCAAAGTTTACACAGAAGAAAACACACATCTATATGTTTCCTTCTGTTCCTCAGAGAACTTGTCTGTGAAATGCTAGGGAGGAAGCTTCAGCCCTAAAAGGCTGTGGATCTAAATACAAGAGGATCTCAAACATGACAGGATCCGAGGGTCACTGCTGGCCCTCACCTTCACAGGCTCAGAGGTGTCCATGGCTGAGCTGGCATCGATATCAGCTGACTCTGCTTGGCCGAACTCTGAGGGAAAAACAGCAGTCTCTGCTTAGTGCCTTCTCCTCATCCCAACTTCGGCCCTGCCCAGGCCCTTGCACACAGGCCCTACTCACCTGCTCCCTGCAGCGACATCTGCATGGCGTAGGCAATCTGCTCCTCCTCAGTCATGCTGCTTAGGTCAGGAAGCCCAGCACGACCAAACTCCTGCTGGCTGATGGTCATCTTCAGGAGGGCATCATCCGAGTCTGGGAAAGAACAGAAGGGCAAGGAAGACCTAGTGGACATTCCACAGGGCTGGCTGCGCCACTACCCAAGCCTAGCTTGAAATGACTACACCCTCAGGCCCGGGATTTCAGAATCCACCTCTTTCACCTTCAGTCCCAGCTGTTGCAATTCCGGCCTCGGCTGCAGAGGCTGCAGCAGCCCGCCGTGCCTCTTCCTCCTGCCGCTGCCGCTGCTCTTCCATAGAAACACGAAGAGCCTGGGAAAGAGTAAGACAAGATCAACTACTGGGGCAATGCTGGAGCTGGAGAACCCAGGAGGGCACCTTCTGGTTTATCGTAACAGCAGGAAGAGAACTGCTGAAAAATAAGAAGGGGAAATGGAAGCAGCAGGACAAGGCCTGGGGTGTCACCAGAAAAACCATCAAGCCAGAGTCCTGCAGACAGAGCTAAGAGAAGGGGGTGAAAGGGTCTTAGGAAAGGATGGCTGGGAGTGCTCAGGATGACCCAGCCCTACCAGCTGGGCATCTACAGAGAGAACAGACCAGGTCAGCATCTGCTTACTAGGGCCAACTCAGGATCAGCACTGGGGTCTACTCCAAACTCGAAGTCACTGGCCCCGAGCCCCAGCATGGCACCGCCTTCACCAGCCAGAATAGGAGAACTGATGAGGGCATCAGCCAAGCTGGGCCCAGGGGGCACTGTCACCAGGTGTGAGCCAGTTCCGTCCTTGCCATTCAGTGTGTTCACAAAGGCCGTCAGCTTCTCTGTGTTCACCTCCTGCGGAGCAGAGAGCACAAGACAGAACCCCCTTCACTCACTGCTCACAGCTGTCTCCAGAGCCCAGGCCTCTACTCTAGGACAGCTCTGTTCATAACCAAATGGATCAGCTCCCATGCTCTACGACCCTGACTTACCTCTTCCCCAAAATTGATGATGTCAACATTTACTTTTTCTTTCTTGAGGCGTTTGGCTAGTTTTACCAGCTGAGAAGAGAGTAAGAAAAACCAAGAAATTGATTCTATATATTAAGCACCGAACTTGCCTCACAGAAAAACAGAAATTCAACAGCCGACCAAAGGACAACACAACATTGAAAACAGACTTCCACCTTTCCCCCAGATTCTAAGTACTTGGGGACACTCCAAAATGTAGGCTCTGCCTGAGGATTGCAGACTCACATCCTTCTCCTGGTCCTCCACGGGGCTCCCCACAAAGGCGATGATGCGCATCTTGTGATTCTTGCCCTGCCGGTGCTTCAGGGCCAGCTTGGAAAGCAAAAGGTTCCCGTCAACCACAGGAGCATCAGTTTCCCCGTGTCCCCTGCCCCTGCTCTTCCTTCCGTCACGGTCACGTCGACCACCACTCAGATCTCCAGCCTCAGGCCTCCCTCACAGTCCTCCTGCCCACCCTGTCTATACTGAGTAAGCGTGCTCTAGGTCAGTGCTTCTCAACCAGTGGGTCACAACAGGGGTTGGGGGTTGAGTGACCTTTTCACAGGGGTCACCTAAGACCACTGGAAAACACAGGTATTTACAGTACAGTATTTACAGTTACAGCAATGAAGCAGCAACACAAATAACTGTCTGGTTGGTGTCCTCACAACATGAAGACCTGTACTAAAGGGTCGCAGTGTGAGAGGGCTGAGAATCGCTGCCCTAGGCTATCTCTCGTCTGATCTATGTAGCTCTAGGTTACAGTTCTCAGGAAAAATGAGCACTGATCCTCACAGCAAGGAGGCGCAGGACTCACATGGGCCACGCGGATGCCAGTGCAGAAGGTGATCTTGCCCTTGGGCTGGACAGTATGGAGCTTGGAGAGGATGCGGCCAGTGTCGGGCGTGAGTGTGGTCAGCACTTCACAGTCACTGTGAGAGCAAAGCACTTCAGTGAGCTCAGACCACACAGCCTCCCAACCACTCCCATCCATCTTTTCTTTGGGGGGATTTTTCCAGACAGGGTTTCTCCGTGTAGCCCTGGCTGTCCTGGAACTTGCTCTGCAGACCAGGCTGGACTCAAACTCAGAGATCTGCCAGCCTCTGCATCCTGAGTACTGAGATTAAAGGTGTGCGCCACCACCGCCTGGCTATTCATGTTCTCTTTAGAGACCTTAAAAACAACTTGTATCATTTTTAAGGTAGAGTCTCCTGAAGGACAAAATGGTACATGTCTTTAATTTGCACTGGGGAGGCAGAAGCAGCAGATCTCTGAGTCTGATACCAGCCAAGGCTATATGAGACCCTGTCTCAAAAAAAAGAGAGAGCTGGTGAGATAGTTCATTGGTTAAGAGCACTTACTGCTCTTAAGGAGGCTCCAGCTCATTTCCCAGCACCCGCATGGTGGCTCACAATCAGTTGTAACTCTAGTTCCAGGGAATCTGAACCCCTTTTCTGACCCCTGTGGGCACCATGCATGCCCGTGGTGCATATACATAGATACAGGACAAATAGTCATATACATGAAATACAAAATAAATAAATTTTAAACAAGAAAAAAAGAAAATCCCAAAGGTTGGGGTTAGAGCTAAGCAGCAGAGCCCTTGCCTGGCACACAGGAGGCTGGGCTCACCCTTAGCATAAAAATGACAAGAAAAAGTGAAAAGCTGAGCATGGTGGTGCAGGCCTGGGAGACAAGGGGAGGAGGGTTCACCCAAGTTCAAGGCAGCCCAAGGTACACAGCAAGTCTGAAGACAGCCAGGGCAGAGGGAAAACCGTGTGTGTGTGTGTGTGTGTGTGTATGGGTGAGTGGTCAGTAAATCCTCCCTACCCAACAAGCTGTGCTGACCACGAGAGGAGGGGAAAGCACGGGGAAGGGTAAAAACAGCCTGTACTACCAACATAAGGTCAGCCACCTACAGACCCAGCGTAGCAACACCACCCACCTTCACAGCCCCACTCCTGGATCCCACGTACTTGGCCAGGGTGATGAGGCCCACGTTATTCTCAGGATTGCTTCGAGTCTTTGAGTGACACACAATGTTGACGGCATCCTGTTGGGCCTGCAGCCGGGTGGGAAGGAAGTCTCCATTCCGCATGTACTCACTGTTGTCCACGCTGTCAGATGGGAAAAGGGGACACAACAATGGAGGATCCCCTAAAACATACTCAACACCTCCTGCCAGACGCGCTGCAGCACAACAGTGGTTTTCAGGCTTAGAAGGCAGGGTCACCTGGAACTCTTTCTATCTTAATAGAGCACACAAGCCAGGTGCGGCAGCACACAGCTGTAACCTAGAACCCAAAGATGGAGCTAGGAGGACCAAAGGTTCAAGGCAAGCCTCAACTACATTATAAGTTTGAGGCTGGTCTGGGCTATATGAGACCAGAAAAAACAAAACAAAAAACCAGGATCTAGATAATATGAAATAGAGACTCCAGCTTCCCTGCCTTTTGGTTTTGGAGTGAGGGGTATCAGTCACACAATCTACCATTAAGCCACATTCCTGGTCCGGGACCAACTCTTGATGACCCTTGAGATCTTGGAGAGTTCTTCCAGCCACTGACACCTGTGCTCAGGGAAGAGCGCAGTGCCCAGAACAAGATACTTTCCTCGAAAGCAAAACTGGCTCAGTGATAACTTTTTCCACCTTATAAAGCTTTACCTGATAATAACTAGAACCACAAATAGTAGGGGATGATTTATTGGAAAACAAGCAGAAACAGGAATATCAGGTAGTGCTGAGACACAGGCAGTTTGAAACAACATGCTGATGCTGGGAATTGAAGCTGTATTCTATGTAAGAGCAGCCAGGGCTCTCTGACCACTGAATGTCACTCCAGCCCCTAGTTAATTTTTTTTCTCTAAGAAAGCTACTTATTTCTCTAAGGTCCAATTACTTCACTCTTTCGTTTCATTTATTATTTGGAGGGCAAGACAAATATGTGGGCATATGCTTGCCACAACATGCATACACAAGTCACAGGACAACTTTTGGGAACTGGGTCTCTCCTCCCAGAGTTCCACAGCTTTAACAGGTCAAATAAAGTAGCAAGTCCAAAAAATAAAAACAATAGAGGCTTTCAGCATGGTTTGGATGGAACAGCTAAGTTCAAGGGCTGTGGAAAAGACCAATGAACGGCTAAGGAGGGGGGATGGGCAGACCGCGAAAGGGAGAGGGGGAGAAAAGTTACAGTGACCAAAGCCGGGCATTGCACTGCGGAGAGTGGCTACCGGAGGAAAACACAGACACCCTACCACCCATGCATGTACCCCTTAAAACGCCACAGTTAACGTCAGCCTCAGTATTCCAGAGGCAGGACAACCACAAACTCCAGGTAGGGCTATATGGCAAGATCCTGTTTCAAGCCAAACAAAACACCACACGACTGCCCAACTTTCCCTATCTCCAGCTTGATACGAATGGGGTAATATTATTTGTATTTCTTAGAACTGCATTCCCTCAGCAGCATGCAATTCTCTCCTTCACCCCCAAAAGTGTAACAAAACTGGGTTTACGGTATTACCTCAACTTTCCAGATCATAATTTTAATATGCATAATTTAATAATAGCATGAACAAGACCCTGGCTTTGGTTCCCACTACTGCAAAATCTATCCATCCATTTCTCAGATACAGGCCAGGCAACAGAGCACACCTGCAGGCTCAGCTACTTAGGAAGTCAAGGAAAGGATTTCTTGAATCCAGGATTGGGAGTCAGCCTGGGCAACATACTGAGATCCCATCCCTGTCCTCTCCCCACTTCTCTCCCTCACCCTCAGTCCCCTTAGAAACAGGGTGAGCTTTCCACGCTGAAGATGACTTTGAACTGATCCTCCCAACTCTACCTCCTAAGTGCTGGGTTACAGGTATGTGCCGGCACATCTGACTTGAGATGACCTAACAACACAAACAGAGCTCCAGTGAGTTCCACACTGCCCAAGCGCAATACCATGCATAAAAAACTAACAAGAAAGGAGTCTAACAGGTGTTTGTGGCGCACGCCTTTAATCCCAGCACTCAGGAGTCAGAAGCAGGCAGATCTCGTGTGAATTCCAGGACAGCCATGGCTGTAACAGAGAAACTGTTTCAAAAAACAAAAACAAAACAAAACAAAACAAACAAATAAACAAAAAACAAGGAAGGAAGGGAGGGAGGGAGGGAGGGAGGGAGGGAGGGAGGAAGGAAGAAGGAAGGTAGGTCTGACAAGACAAACATCACATCATTTTAAAATAGCTTCCTACACAAGACTGTTGCCTGGAAATGCAGGTCCCTCAGGGAAAGCATGGGCACTCTCACCATTCTGTGCCTGGGCTATGACACGGATGGCTGATGCCTGTGGTCCTTTAACACAGCACTCTAAACTTTCTTTTGGGGGGAGGGGGTGGAAACAGGATCTCATTATGTTCCAAGCTGGCCTAAAACTCATGATCCTTCTGTCTCAACCTCTTCTGTGCCATGACAGGTGTGTACCACAAACCTGTCAATATTTTTAAGCAATGCCAGTCTGCACAACAGTCTGCCTCCAACACTCCCCGAGTTACAGAACAGAATGCGAGCTCAGTCCTAACTTCCTCCTGCAGTGGTCCCGTCCACCTTCAATCAACCCTCTGTGTTAAAGTCACTCTGCTCAACATCCCCAACACGGGGCTTTTTATTTAAGCAGCTCTCTTAACCGCTCTCAAGTTCAGAGGACTCCCAAATGCCATGGCACTCCAGTAAATACCACACAGGAGTCACTACAATTCTCCCAGTGTGCGAAAGGCTGGGGCCAGAAAACAGATGCTGGGTTCCACACCTGTCTTCTTTCGTCTTTAACATGTTCTCTTCTAGAAGTGCACAAACTTAGAAGACAAAAATATAGGACTTAAGATAAAATTTTAATTTCAGACATTTAACAAGGGACTTTTAAGGTTTATTTTTATTGTTTTAATTGTGTATGTGTGTGCGTGTACGCGTGCGCCTACAGAGGTCAAAGACACTGGGTCTTTCGGGGCCTGACAAGGAGCTGAGAACAGTACAATATGAGTGCTGGGAACTGAACCCCAGGCCTCCACAAGAACACCAAGGGCTTTTACCATCAAAGTATCTCTCCAACCCAAACAAGTAACTTTTAAAAGCAACATCTGGGTTGTATTAAAATCATGTTTTATACTAAAAACTACTCACTATTTGCCTGAAATTCAAATTTAGCTGGGCATTCCGGTTGTGCTGTTTTGAGGCAGTCTTCGTAGGTGTCCTGACTCATGGAATTCCCCTGCCTCACCTCTGAAGTGCTGGAAATACAAGCTTGAGATATCAAATCTGGCTCACCTTATATTTTAGCTGGCATTGCTAGCCTATCTCCAAAGAGAAACATGGGCCTGATGACTCAGGCTTATAATCCTACACACTTGGGAGGTGCAAACAGAGGATTGCAAGTTCAAGGCCAGCCTACGCATCTTCTCGAATAAAGCTTTAAAAGTCAGTCTGGGCTACTAAGGTGTCAAAGCTCCATCTAAAAAGATCCTAACGATGACACGTAATAAATACAGTAAAGAAAGGGTGTGGCTGTAGCTCATTCCTAAGCATTCCCAAGGCTCTGGATTCAGTTCTACAAAAACAAAACCCTTGTAGCCCTGAAAATAATATGTCCTCATCTTGACTTTTTTAAAATTTATTTTTTCTTTTCCTCAGCTTCTAATCCAACTCATAATAGGTACTCATGCCAAGTATGAAACTGATCGCGCTAATTCAGCGGATAATTCATTGGAGAAGAGCATTGTGCCGTAGTTTTTGACGCCTGCGTATCACAACCACTGAAAGTTGTGTGACCTGAGCAAATCATCTAAAGGCCTTCCGACTCGTGATGAAATGAAGGACTAGCTTTCCTGAATGCTGGTATAGGTTTACGAGAGAAAAAGTACAGGGAAAGGCAATGAAGTCGGAGACGGGTGGATGGGGCGGTTGGCCTCTGCTCCTCATTCCTTTAGGGCGGCATGGAGGGCAGGGTCTGAGAACCAAACTAAAGGCTGCTGTGGAAAACCAGGGTTCCGGGGCCTGCGCTCCTGGCCGGGATGACTCAGGGAGTCGCCGGCCTGTCTCCCGTGGGCCCCAAGGCCACATCGCCCGGCGACCCGGTCCCCACCCCAGGCCCTAGGGCCTCGGCGCCGTGCGCACCCACGACCCGGACAAGACCCCCGGCCAGGTCCGAAGCTCCTCACCAAACCATAGTGCTCTCCAACACCATCTTGCCACCTTCCCTCTGCGGACCGGCTCCTGGACTGGCAAACAACAGCGCCTCCGATTGGCCTGGCGTTCCTCGCCAATCACAAAACTCCACCTCCTCGCCGCCCCGCCGCCCCGCCTTCGCGCCCCGCGATGCGTTCTGGGACTTGTAGGCCCCGCAGACGCGGAAAGGCCGGTAATCTGGTGGTGCCAGCTACCTTCGCTGCAGAATTAGCTTCTGCAGGGTCCCCCAGCTGCTTCCGGACGCTGTGGAGCAGCTGTGAGTTCTCTGCATAGCTGGGCCTGGTGACACTCGCCAGTCAGCACTCTGCAATCTGAGACAGGAGGGTTGTGATTTACCCCCTCCTCTGTGCTCTTTTTTGTTTATTTGAGGTTTTGTTGTTGCCGTTTGAGAATTCTCTGTGGAACTGAGGCTGAACTCCTGGTCCCCCTACCTTCACCTCCCAAGTGCTACCCAGATCGAAACTGCAGTTTCGGAGCCAGCCTGGGCTCCATAGTTACATAGTGAGACTGTCTCAAACACACACAGAGACTCGCATGCACGCACGCACTACTGTGGATATGTCAGTTCAAGCATGATTTTTTTTTTTAAAGTGTCGGATCAATTTCTGTGAGTTCGAGACCAGCCTGGTCTACAGAGCAAGTTTCATTCTAACTCCCTGTCTTCCATTGTACTTTGTTCATCCAACTGCTATAAACACTTACAACCTCAGGGTGGTGGTGGCGCATGCCTTTAATCTCAGCGCTCCAGAGGCAGGTGGATCTCTGTGAGTTCCAGGACAGTCAGGGAGAAACTCTGTCTTGTAAAGCCAAAAACTAAGAATGAAAAAACAAGAGCACTGCAGGAGTGCCTCAGTGATCCGGTGTGCCTGTGAGAACAACCGAGCCCCAATTTCAACTCCTAACACCAAAAACAAATAAACAAACCAAAAACTACCCCCACCAAAAAAAAAAAAAAAATACAACTGGAAATTCTGGTAGTGGTGTCTGTTGCAAACACTTTAGATTTTAGTAAAGTCTCCCTTAATAAAACTTATTTGTTTGTTCTGCCCCCCACCCCAGAGAGGATTTCTCTGTGTCACAACTCTGGCTGTCCTAGATCCGCCCGTCTCCAAGTCCCCAGGGCTAGGATTAAAGGCATGCTCCACCACACCTGACTTTGTTCTGCTTCTTTTATGACTGTAGCTTTTCTTTTTTTTTTATAGGGTCTATTTTACTATTTTATATGTATGAGTGATTTGCCTTCATGTATGTATGTGTACCACATGTGTGCGGTCCTGCAGAGGTCTAGAGGGAATCAGAATCCCTGGGATTGGCCTTAGACAGTTGTGAACAACCATGTGGATGCTGGGAATAGAACTGGGTTCTCTGAAAGGTAACCCCGTGTTCTTAATCATTGAGCAAACTCTTAAGTCCCTATTTATTTTTTAATAATTTCTTTTTATTATTTTTTACAGATATATGTCTGAGTTGGGGTATGCCCATGTGAGTTCAGGGGTCTTCAGAAGCCAGGAGTCAGTTCCCTTGAAGCTGGAGCTACAGGTGGGTATGAGACTCCATAGGAGTGCTGGGAACCAAACCTAGATTTCTACAAGAGCAGCAAGTACTCTGAACCACGGACCTATTTCTCCAGCCCCCATTTACTTCTGAATTTTATTTATGTTGTGTATGTGTGTTTGCCTGAATATGTGTGTTCTCCATCTGCAGGCAGAAGTCCAAGTGTCGCAGTGTGGAGTTGAGGTCAAAGGACAACGGGTGGGAGCCAGATCTTTCCTTCCACCAGGTGGGCCCTGGGGATCAACTCCGCTTGTCAATCTTGACAGCAAGGGGCTTTACCCACTGAGTCATCTTGCTGACCTTTTAGCAAAGTTGTGATGGTTATATTGGTATTGTGTCTTGGTTTCCTTTCCTATTGCTGAAATAAAATACACTGACGGAGGACCTTACAGCTGAAAGGGCTTCCTGACTCACAACTGCAGGTTACAGTTCGTCAGCGCAGTAGAAAGCTGTATCAGCTAGCCACAACCAATAGAAAGGAGCAGTGAATGGACACAACATGCTCGTTCTGCTCACACCGTTCTATGCTTACATGCTTGTATCCTTACAGTCCAGAAGCCTAAGCTCGAGGAATGGTACCACCCACAATGGTTGCTTCCCTCCACATCAACCGATGTAATTGTGATAATCACTCATAGGCATTCTCACAGATCCTTCTCCCAGATACTTCTAGGTTGTGTCAAGTTGACAATTAAAACATCACTGACCCTAACTCCCAGGAACAAGGGTCCCTAATGGCGAGATGTCGAGTGGGAGGAGTGGGTGAGAAATAAGGGAGGCACAGCAGTAGCTGGAACCAAGTAGGTCTTACACAAGCTGATGACTCGGGCTTGTTTATTAAACACAGCATCAGTCAGGTGCTGGTGCACGCCTTTAATCCCAGTGCTCGGCAGGCAGAGGCAGGTAGATCTCTCTGAATTATGGGCCAGCCTGGTCTACACAGAGAAACCCTGTCTTGAAAAACTAACAAACAGAAAGCTAAAACTCTCAAGCCAGACATAGTGGTGCACGTCTATAGGGCCAGCACTCCGGTAGCGAAGGAAGGAGGCTCTCTGTGAGTGTGAAACCAGGTCAACCTGGTCTACAGGACAAGCGCCAGCAGCCAGTGCTACAATAAAAGAGCCTCGCCTCAAGCCAGGAGAATCCCAGGGAGGGAGGCAGAATCAGAGGGATGTCTGTAAGGTCGAGACCTGCCTACTCTACATAGTGAGTTCTAGGACCGTCAGGGCTATGTAGAGACTTTGTTTCAAAAAACTGAAACAGAGAAGAAACGCCAGCAGGGAAAACAAGGAATGTTTCAGCTCTAAGTGAGGCATCTGGAGTGTGTAATGTGATCAGCTGACTCCAGAATCTTCTTAGCTCCACCATTCCAGCTTTGGCACCTGCAGCAACACAGTTTCTCTCCTGGGCCTTCCACTCCAGAGCGCAGCCCTCGCTGGCAGACATGGCCTCTTCTAACCCCTGAGGCACCTGCACATGTGTATAGACACACACACACACACACACACACACACACACACACACACACACATACATCTTTTTAAAAAGCCCAAGGGGTTCTCTACCCCTTGAAAGCAAACACATAGGAAAGTATTTCCCTAAGGTCAGCCCACTGCTGTAGTTTAGAGGGCAGGCACAGGAACTGACATCGGGATGTGGGGATAGTACCCACCTGATACTGGTTCTGAAGGCATGAAAGATGCGAGATTTATGGAGATGTGGAGAGCAACTGAGGTGGAGTCACTTTGGAGAGGCCCTGAGAGGTTATTACGTGAAGTTGCGGGGGTGGAGCGTCGGTTGCAATGGAGACCGCAGGGTCCTGGAAACGGCCAGGACTGGGTCATGTTTGCCAGTGAGGATGTGTTGACCTCAGAATGGAAACCAGGAGATGTGCTGTGTTGGGGAAGGAGTTTCACTCTTGTTTCCACAGGAGAAGAAAAGCCATGGGTACCATCAAAATTAGTCAAGATTTGGTTTGAAAAAGAAACCTCTTGAGAAAGAGAAATGACAGCTCATCTACAGAGGTGACAATCCTACAAGTTGGGAGGAAACCTCATAAGGATTGGGGCAGGGCTCTGTCCTTATCTTTGCAGGAAAATAGAAAATACCAATCTTTAAATAGTCAAGAGACTTTGGACATCTAGATGCTTAAAGAAGAAAAGATAGCTTTCCAGAAAGAATCACCAAGCAAAGAGAAATATGACTTATGGTACCAATATCCTCTGCATGGTAAAATTACACTATCTAAACATACACATCTCCCTACTTCCTAGTATAGTGGTCCTCGCGACTCACTTAAAAATCAAAGCTGGCTTTGGAGGTGGATGGTGACTCTCTTTCTCTAAATCCATGTTGTTAAAAGAAAAACTCAGAGTTTCTGTCTCATATCAGGAGCCACCTGGTGTGGGACAGAAGAAAAATAAAAACCTAGGGACTAAGGTTATCAAAACCCTGCTTTCAAAAATTCTACTTCTCCTCATACCTATTTTTATCTCTATGGTACTTCCATTGAATATATGTCTATTTAAATTCAAACTTTCTGTTTTGATATGAATAATGTTTAAGTTTTCTGCAGTGAACAATAAATATTCCTACAGTAATCTTTGATGTCTCCAGGAAGAAGATGGGGCTCCATCTGGTTCATATGACGCCATTCAGCTGAGCACCGCTTAAAGTTCGGCTTTGGACTACAACCTGCTCAGAACATTTCAAGGTGGCTAGCTGAGATGTTCAGCTTCACAGACTCCTCTATCAAGGACCTGAGACAAGCTCTGTACTTTCCCATAATGCATAGACTGAATGATACAGCTTCTTCTTCCAGGACTTAATAATTAACCCAAATTTTCCTTTCAGAATTCCCTAAAGATCCCATCATCCCCCAGACTGCAGGAAGTAAATAAAGCATTACACAGTCTATTTCTGGGGATCTTTATTACTCCTTTTTGCTTATTAAGCATATCCTTTAGAATTTGATTTGATCTTTCTATAACTACTTGCCCTGTAGGATTGTGTGGTATACCTGTAATATACTTTATCTTGTAATATTTTTTATTTTTTGCATAATGCTTTATTAACTTTGAATTTTTTAAATGCTAATGAGAAAGGAACAACAGCTGTGGAGAGGCATTGGATAGTAGAAAAACTACAGAATTAAATTGGCCAAAATATTTTAAAGATGTACTGACCTCAGAATAGAAACCAGGACATGTTTTATGTTGGGGAAGGGGTTTTGCTTTTGTTTCCACAAAGGAAGAAAAGCTATAGATACCATCAAAATTGATAAATATTAGATTTGAACCTCTTGATTAAAAGAGGTGATACCTCATCAAACAATGTGGCCGTTCAATCTAAACTAACAAATGTCTTTCATTTGATCAGATATAATTTGCCAAAAGGGAATCTCCCCAAAATTAGGTTAAGGTACGATTTTGTTTTTGTCTTTCAGGCGAATGAAGACGTCCAGCCAAAGAATCTGAAGACCACTAGACAAATGATCCATATGAAGAAAAAGAACAAATCATCCAAAAAAAAAGGTCCCAAGAAAAAGCCTATTAATAAATCACATTTTCAGCAGGATAAAATTCAGAGACCTACAGAATATGGCATTTAAGATATTTTAATAACGTAAGGTTCTTTGTTATGACAATGAGACATGTCTGTTCCTGGCACCACCAATCTATTTTGGAGAAGATGATGGGCATCGAAGAAACTCCATATGCAGTTTACCTTCTTTGTGGCAAAAGTTAGACACTGAACAAGAAAGTAGCCTTGCCTCAAATACTGACAGTATGCTGTCCAAACTGGACTAGCAGGACAAAAGGAAAGTGACTGCCCAACTTTGCCATGGCAAGGTAGGAAAGCCCCTCAGAATACCTGTTTCACAGAAAAGTCTGTCAGATATTTTAGACCTGTAAACCGAAGATGGCTATCCCAATCTTGGGTGATTCTCCAGGAATCCAGTTCTTTATGTCATTTTCACATTTTTTTGGAAGTTGCTTGCTTGCACTTCCTGTTTACTCAGGTAATATTATTTCCTTCTCAGGTCTCTGAGGGAGTTGAAGACTAGATAGTCATCAAAAGATAGTTTTGAGTTGGTAATGCAAGTTAGGATAGAAAGTGAATTAGGTACAATACTGTGGACTCACCAAGACAGTGTAGATTAGAGTATTTTCTCTGAATTTGTCAAGTGCTAATAGATTGGACATTGTTGTTTTGGTTTCTTGAGACAGGGTTTCTCTGTAGCATTGGAGCCTATCCTGGACTTTGCTCTGTAGACCAAGCTGACCTTAAACTCAGAGAGATCAACCTGCCTCTGCCTCCAGATTGTTGGGATTAAAGGTGTACACTACCACTACCTGGCCAAGACTGTACATTGTTAACATAATTCTTGACTGGATATATTGTGTATAGTTATTGTACTTATTGTATATAGTTTTTCTATGCTAGCTATAACCTTCTCCTTTTATCTTAGACCAAAAGAGGGGTAAATGTTGCGATAATTGTTTATGTTCTGACAAAGCTTGCCTGAAGATCAGAGGAGCTAGCCACTAGTTAACCATAGAGATCCTGATATCTGTACAAACAGGAGACAGGAAGTGATATGGGTGGGTGGAGAAAGGAGGTGATAATGTGGGGTACAGATAGGAGCTCAGCCCTTTTGGTCAGAGTCAGAGAGGTAAGAGGTGACTGTGGGATGATCCTTTGCTTCTCTGATCTTTCAGCTTTTACTTCAATATTTGGTTCTGGTTTTTATTATTAAGACTAATTAGGACCATGCTTCATGAACCCACTGCTGTCCTGAAACCTCCCGTGCCAGACAAACCTAGTCCATCATCTCCCCATTCAACTTCACTCAGGTTCTCCAAACACAGACAGAATAAAGCCAGATTCCAGACCAAAACAGCACAAGAATGGTCCTTACCCCAGTCTTAAATCCCCTTTGCAACTTCACGAGCTGGGAATCCACTGTCTGTATTCTTATCTTCCAAGCTCCCAAAAGAATGATCCATGATGTTCTTCCTAAAACACTGTAAGAGTCTGCACTTTCCAATGGATACCCACGCCCGACCCAGGTTGCGTGCTTCCTGAACTCGGGCCCACGAGAAGGGACGATTGTCCTGAGGACTGAAAAAGAGACACATACAAAAGAAACCTTTGCTCATTCACAAGAGTAAATGGCAACTTTATTAAACTCAAGTCAGGTATTTATACCAGTGGGCTAGAAGGACCGAAAATGCAAGGCCTCCTCCCAACCAGGAGCGGTAGGGAAGATTAAAGCCTTCCAGGCGCCTCGGGCAGGGTCAGCTAGGGGAGGCAGGCTATCGGCCCACTGCTAAGACCTTGAATACAAGTGGAATCACCATAACAAAGAGAACCAGGTTCTAGCTAGGTTATCCCCTCAAGCCAGAGCTAGTGCAGAGTCTCCAGGAAGCAGGAGGTCACATGGCCCTGCGAATCGCCAGGAGAGAAGGGAAGAAACTTTGGTAGCTACACTTAACAGCTTTCCTAGCCCAGAGTTCCAAACTCATCTACGTTTCTCCCACATAATAATTCCAAAGACCTAAAAGTCACGTGGCTGGTGTACCACAGAACTGTTTTTTTGGGGGGGGGGGTAGAAGAATTTGGAACTCTGGGCTAGAAGAACTTTTTTTAAAAAAATATTTATTTATTTATTATGTATACAATATCCTGTCTGTGTGTATGCCTGCAGGCCAGAGAGGGCACCAGACCCCATTACAGATGGTTGTGAGCTACCATGTGGTTGCTGGGAATTGAACTCAGGATCTTTGGAAGAGCAGGCAATGCTCTTAACCTCTGAGCCATCTCTCCAGCCCCCCTAGAAGAACTTTTGCATCCTGTAGGCAGAGCTTAGTAGGCCATTCTGACAGGAAATTGGGGCACCAGAAGACTGAGAGGAGTGTCGAGAGCTGGCGCATGCGGATTCGGAGGAAAACGAAGCTGAACAGCTGTGTGTCCGTCATGTGAGGATCTGGCTGCTTTCCGCTACAGCTGAGAACTTGAGCGAGACCAAATTTAAACTTTTCAGTTTGGCAGAGACTTCGTGGCAGGTATCTCAGCTTCTTTTCCGGCCGCTGTGACAAGACCCAGCAGCAGCTTGAGGAAGGGCTTCCCTTAGGTCATCTGTTGTCCTTTCTAGACAGGGATTCACTGTGGAGCCATTCATAGCTGTCTGGCTGGGCCCTGGTATCTTTTTCTCCCCGCCTCCAGCCTAAACCCCTCCTCCTACTTACTCTCCATGCCCAAAGGTCCCACCTATACCTCCTCCCTCACTTTTGGCCATCCAGCTTTTTATTAGACCAATAAGATGCCTTAGGGCAACAATGTAAACAGCCAAACATCTTTACATAATTAAACAAATGCAACACAACTTTATATAGTTAAACAAATGCAACACATCTTTGCATAAACAAATATTCCGCAACAGTGTACCCCAGCACTGCCCAGCTTAGCCCTTTTATTGTTTAATGTACAGCTAATCACATGGTATCCAGTCAGAAGATAAAGAGGGAGGAAAACATGCGCACATAATAAAAATGTTTTATGCAGTTCAAGACCCCTTGCCCAGGGACTAGTGTGCTCATTGTTAAGAGGAGTCTTTCTAATTAGGTGGTGCACACCTTTAATCTCAGCACTGGGGAGGCAGAGGCAGGCAGATCTCTAAGTCTGAGTTCAGCCTGGTCTACAGAGCGAGTTCCAGGACAGCCAGGGCTGTTACACAGAAAAACCCTGTCTTGAAAAAACAAAAAATAAAAACAAAAACAAAAACAAAAGCTGGTGAGAATTTGGTGTCTAGGTGTGTTCTAGTTGATAGGAACCATCACAGCAGGACAGCATTCCATCTGTGACAAGGGTAGTTATTGTATTTTGTTGAGAAAAATAGCTCAAAAATTCACGCAAGGCTAGCGAAGAGTTCAAGAGTAAGAATATAAAATGAAGATTCCAGAAATAAGAATATAGAAATAAAAAAAATAAAGTTGTAAGCCTAGGAGAATGTCTGTCAGCAGCTTTCCCCAGCAGCTTGAGGATTAACTATTAACAGTGGGTTACTTCGCTTTACAACCCGTAGCTCTATTTACAAGGCTGAAGCATCTCTCTGTAAACTGAGAGCGTAACACCCCCTGCCATCCTTGATTAACACGATATGAGCTGAGTTAACTTTTAGGAGACAGATAGATGACCTCTGGGTTACACATTATCCCTGCTTTGTGAAACTGGCAGCATCTAAGGGGAGAGCACAGGGCTTCAGTGAACGCCACCTGGAAGTACCAAGAAAGACAACAGGTTAAGTGCAAACACTAGTTTAACTGAGAAACTCTGTTAATGGAGATTGTAAAATAAGACAATCTGTATCTGAGTTTTACCTCGAGATTGTGAAAGATCCTTTGTTCAGACCTAACTCATGGTTCACCTTACTATAAGAAAGTGGACTCAGAAACTGGCCTTTGCCACAGCCTTACAGAATCCATCCCTGCCTGTGGTCTCAGCTAGCTGATAAGCTTTTTGTGCCCCATGGAGATTTTTTATTTTTATTTTTCCTGGAACCTGGTTTCTGGAACAAAGGTTGCTTCTGGTTTATTAGACTTTGGTGGTCTGTCCCCATCTTTGTCTGACTCCTGTGCACCCGACAACTAGTGCTGGAAAAGAAGCTGTAGCTACTGGGGAGAAACCTGTTGCCCTGAACTGGGGCATTAGAAAAGGGTTCCTGAGTGCAAAACTTTGTCCATCGTAGGATCTAACAGGTGAACATATATCTGAAAAGAAAACAACCTGAACCCAGAATGCCTAGCTCAGGCCTTCTCTGCTTCTGAAAAACAACTGCCTAGGAAGTGATTCATCCCCTGAGGTTAGCACACAAAAGCTGGTGAAACCGTGGTCCAAAGTGGCCAGGCTCCATT